CCCCCCACTGCCCCCAACAACTCTGGGACCCCACACTCACTCCCCTCATGCTGCCCGGCCATGCTAACTCCAGACCTACTCACCTGCTGTCCTGAAAGCTTCACCCATAGCTTCTCTCCTGGCACTCGCCGCCAAGAGGGTGCCCTTGGGGAAGTCATGTCCCCACTCCTGCTCCAGCAGTCAGGCAAGCACTGAGGACCAGTGCCAACCCCAATCCATCACACACCTTTACCAGCTGCCTGGAAGCAGCCCTGCACCCCTATTCAGCAGGGCTGTACAACCCCCCCAGCAGGAGCCACACCACTGGTGCCAGCCCTTTACCTTCTCCCGGGCAGAGATGGCGAGAGTGAAGGGGTTCACGCGTGTGCAGTGGTGCAGCAGGACTCCAGCAACCCGCTCGCCGTCCTTCTCGAAGGCGAAGGGCTCATTCCAATGCCCTCCGCTCCTGTCCTCCTTCGTTCCCGTGCCATTCTGCAGGCTGAACATGATGGAGACGTCCACATCCTCATCCCTCCCATTCTCCACCTCCCAGATGAACACTCCCACCGGCAGGCTGGAGTCCTGGCAGAGACAGACAACGCTGTGTATAGGGCTGGTGCTCCATGGTTAGCTGTCAGAGCATCACTTTTCCCGCTGCTGGGGAGACCACGAAGGGATGCAGCGGGAGCAAGAGCACCAGGAACAACTCTGTCTCAGAGTCCACTGCCAAGCTGGGGAACAGCAGCGTGAGCAGAGGAATCTGGGGGACAGGCAATACAAAATTCAGCCAACACGCCCTGGGCTAGCAAAACCCACACCAGGCAATACACAGACGGAAAGCAGCGTTTAAGGTTCAGACCGGTGTCTCACCGCCCGTCTGCTCAACAGGTTGATACAGGCTCACGTGCTCTGCTGGGGTAAGAGGAAGGTCAGGAGTGTTGGCAGCACACCCTGCCACCCTTGCCCGGGGCTGGGAGCGAGCAGGAGCAGCACGCAGGAGCGGCGAGGCATCCCTTGCTGCCATCCCAAGCTTCCGCATTGCTGCAGGGGTTCCTCCTGCCTGGGAGCATTGCTGAGTAGAGACACGGGGAAATGTTGGGAAAGCCTGGCTGGGAAAGCCCAGCTAATAAGCAGGTTTTCCCTTGGGGATGGCAGGCAAAAGCCAGCTAAAACACTCTTAGGAACACCCAGCTGACAAACCAACCCAGAAGTACAGGCTGAGGGTTTCCCAAAATGCTACCATCCAAAACACTACCACTGGATCCTCCGGGCAGTAAGGCCACAGCTCTGGACTTGCCATTCCAGGTGGACGGGAGTTGGGATGGTCACAGGACAAAACCAAAGCAGTACAAAGAATCAAAGCACAGGTCAAAACCAAAGCAGTACAAAGAGTCAAAGCACAGGTCAAAGGCGAAAGGAGCAGCTACCAGAGCTAAGCACAAGGAAAAAGGGATAACCCTTCCAGCACCAACTGCCGCAGGAGAGGCCAAAGCCTTCCAGGGTCCCGCTGCTACAGATGTGGCACTAGGGACAGGGTCTTGGGACAGAAGAGACCAGGTTGGAAAAGAACATTAACAAGGCGGCAAGCCTGCTTGTCTTCAGGCAATGCTGAGCTGGGCAGGAGGGACAAGGAACTCCTCTACTGCAGCATCCCTGGATGCACGGGCAATGCTCAGGGGTCAAAAACTCACCAGCTCCAAGCCTCTGCCACCCAAATGGGATGCACCAAGCTCAGCCAGCCAAGGGCCTGTCCTGGGAGCATCTCACAGGACAGCCCCGTCTCTGGTGTGCCAATCCCTTCCCCCTCCCGCCATGCAGGCAGCTCTGCCAAACCCCTGCCAACCTGCTCCATAGGAGCTGTGCTGCTGCAGCGCCCAGCGCTCCCATGGGACAGGCTGCAACTAGCATGGGGCCATCACCTCCTTACCTTGTAGTCATGGGGGATGACGGGAGAGACCTGGCGGCAAGTGAGCACTACGTTTTGCCCTGGGAGCTCGTAGACCATCCAGGCACGGGGGTACAGGGCATGGTAGAAGGCATAGTGGCCACAGTAGCCCCAGTTCCAGCCCTGCAGAGTGCTAGGTCTCTCCACAGACAGGACCTGCTGGTAAACTGTCTGCCCCTTGCAACGCAGGCACACCGTGAACTGGGGAGGAGAGGAGCACATGGAGGGGATGAGATGAGTCCAAGAGCAGAGGCCCCAACCGCCCAGGCTGCTGCAGGGCTGCTCGCACCCCTCGCAGACCCCGCTGCACCTACCTGGTCAGCGATGACCGTTTCATAGTGATAAATACCAGGGTTCAGCTGCCAGCGGCAGAACTCGCCCCGCCAGCCACGGGTGATGGTGCCTCCCCCGATCCCGCCCAGCGGGCACCCTGGCAAAGACACCTGAAATTAGCACCCCCGTTCCTCCCCATGACTGTCTCCAGCCCAAGGACCCCTCCCCCCATGCAGTTCCTGGGGCCCCTCGGCACTGCCCGCACTCCAAAAGCTCCTCGACCCACTCCCCACCTCTAGCACCTTGATGGCCCCATGTGAATCCCTGCCCACCCAGCACATTGGGCACTGCACCACCCCAGTGCCCAAACTGGACGCTGACCGTAGATCTGCTGCAGAGGAACGGCACACAAGAGGTCAATGAAGGCAGATTTCTTCTCTATGCGGGTCTTCTTGTACCACCACCTGAAGTATCTGCAAGGGAAGGAGAGGTATGAAAGAAGACAGGAGCAAGCGTCACTGTCCCTTTGATGTCACTGGGCAGGATGTGACCAGCACACGTTGCAGCTGATCCTCTTGTAGAGATGTAGAACAGGAACCTGTGTCCCAGGGCACATGGGGTGGCAGCCCCTGCCATCCATCTGCAGTGTGTATCGGTCAGCGGGCAGAGCACAGGCAGCTCAGGGCAGACTGCAAGGGCACAGCACAGAAACAGAGTGCTCCAATACCTGAGAGCAGGGCTCCCAGCTCATGCAGAGGCAAGAGGCTTTCCCAGATGCCACAGATCCCAGATCCCACAGAGAAGTGGGAATACACACAAGGACCACCACCACCACCACGTCCATGCCTGGTAGGGCATGTCCTGCTAAGGAAGGTCTGAGAGCAGAGGCACAAGCCCAGGGAAGCCATAAGCTGCTCCAAGGAAGTCAGCCTTGCTCTTCCACCTCCACGTCCCCATTGTCACACACAGCCCTGCCACATCCCAGTGCCACATCCCCAGAGGCAGATGGCACGGGGCAGCCTTGCCCAGGAGGAGGCGATGCTTGCTGTCTGCAGCTGGCAGGATCCTGGGGACTCACCTCTGCTCACAGACCAGCTGCAGCCAGGCACTGCCCATCAGATAATTTCTCACCCAAAGGCCTGGGAATCGAGAGACACCCAAATAGGGGCACACCTGTACCTGGGTGTGCCGGCACCACTCTGGGCAAGAGGAGCAGGGCTGGGCTCCGAGTCAGCACTCATAAAGGACTGGCTTTTGCTAATGAACTGCCCCAAGTTAAATCTTCCATATGGAGACAATTAGCATACGGAAACCAGCTACCAGACCAGAAGAAGCTGCTGAACTTCCCCCAGCAAACATACACCAAGACCCAACTGGCAGCTCCGTGGCCCTCGGTGCCAGGTGGGTGGTGGGGGCACGGGAGCCCCCATGGTGGGCAACGTCCCTGTGCTACCTGCAGGCACTGATGACATACTGCCAAGAGGAGAAAGCCACCCCAGCCGGGAACACACAGCCTGTCCTGCTCCAATGGCTCGCGGGGCGCAGAGCCCAGGCGATGGGCAATGGGTGAGCACTAATCCCCTGGCACATGGACCCCCAACTTCACGGGATGTGGGCAGCAAAGGGGAGAGGCTCTTCCGCGACACCCCTTGCTCCTACACACTCCTCCCCAGCAAAAAACCCTCTCACTTGCCTTTTCAGCTGCACGGTCACTGTACGTTCATCTTTATTCACCAACATCTCAGATCCCCAAATCCCTCTCAGGGTGAGATTTTCCAGGTTGCAGTCTCACGGGACCTGACTGCAGCCTGCTCTCCACTCTTATGTACTCACCTTCGTGTTTGACTGTTTAAGGGCATTTTGCCTGCAGAGGTCCAGGGCACCACAAAAACCAGCCTGTCCTGCACGACCGCCCTGAATCAGGGCCTGCCGCTATCTTCGAGCTACATCTGCTGCAACTGCTCTTCTCCCAGCTGAGACAGCCCCGGCTTCACGCCGCCAAGGCGAGGTTTTGGCAACGTCCTCGCTCTCTCAAGGAAATGTTTTTTTTGTTTGTTTTTTTTTTTTGTTTTTTTTAACCCAGCATCAGGGAACCAACCCAGCTGCTTTCCCAGCAGGTTTCTGGCAACGGGAAATAAGGTGCCCAGGCAGAGTGGCTGCAGCACAGCCCGACGGTGCATCCCGGCTCCTTTGAAAGGAGGTGATGGAGGGATTTAAAAAAGCAGCTTTTCCAGAAGCATGCAGCAGGAGAGGTTTGGGATTTACAGCTGGCCACTGCCCAAGCTGGTTTGCCGTCTCAGTAGCAAACTCTTCCCCTGCCAGCTTTTCACCACATGGTGCAGGCCAAGAGAGAAGGTGGTCAATGCCCACTTGCTTGCTATTAACAGCTCTCCCAGGGCTGCAGAATAACCAGGAGAAAGTCTTCGTGTTCTGCAGCACCGAAAGCCCTGCCAAGGCCGGAGGGCATTTCTTTCCCTTAAAGTTGGCAGCGCAATTAAAACCTGTCCGGACATCACCCAGCCGTTCCGGATCTGTGCCATGACCCCCTCCCAGGGCACATCTGCCACCTCTGCAGAAATCTGCCTGTCTTGCCTGCACCTCTTCTCCTACCCCACCAGCCCCAGCACCCACCACAGCCATATTTGCAGCTGTGCTCCCACAAAGCAGTTACCCTGAAGAGTCCCGATTAAAAAAAATCCCACCCCAGGGCTGGCAACACCCCGGGCCGTGCCACCAGCAGCAGGGGCTGGTGCTGCAGGAGAGGTTTAACTCAACACGACACCACATCAACCCAGGATGGGGTGGCTCCTCTGCAGGTCCTAGACTTCCTCAGCCAAAGACGTGCAGCAACCCCAAGGCACTCCCAGCCATCTCAAGAGGGACGGGCACCTGCACCAGGTGACTTTGCACTTGATACACCAAGCCATGCCAGGTTTTAAGAGCACTCCTGGCACAGGTGCCCCTAAGAGAGGGGCTGCTGCTCATCATGGGTCATTTGGGAGAGGGCATGCCAACCTGCAGGGCTCCAGAGGTTCAGATCCATGCGCTGTGCCATGGGACCGAGCTCCAGGCTCCTCTTGCCCCACCAGCACCCGGGTTTCCATCAGCTGGCTGCCTCCGCTGGACAGACATGTGGGTGCCCACCAACGCCAGGAGCATGCAGCCTCCCACACATCCTTACATCCCTGCATTACCTGCCCTTCGCCAGCCAACACCGTTGCCCTCAGGTTTTAATTCAAACCCAAGCAGGTATTTCTTGCCGCTCTGGCCCTTCCTCTCCTCTGCTCTCTAGGCTGGAGTCTCCTTGCAACGAAGCTTTGCCCTGCACAAGTATTTTGGTATGACAACCAAATTAATTTGTACAGGATGAAGACGCAGTGGTCTGACTATTAGTTTCTTGCTGAAAAGCCCTTAAAACCTTTTTCTAGGACCGATGCAAGCCACTTCCATTCTGAGACCCCACTGAGAACAGGCCAGAAGTGGCCTCCCCAAGCTGGCACAGAGGCGATCACCTCTCCTCCCCGCTCACCTCACCAGAACTTCACGCTTTCCCACACGCTCAGCTCATCCCCAACCTGCCACGGCGGCTTTTCCAGCAGCCTTTATCTCCCGTACACAATCCACACTCTCCCTTCCCTGATGTGCAGGCTCGTGCCGGGGATGTCTCAGGTCAGACCAGCATGCCGTGCACCCCAAAGCGGTCCACTATCTGCCCCTTCATCAGGCTTTGCAGGAACCAGCTTTGCAAGCAGCAACCTCCAAAGACATCAAGCAGGAAAAGGCTCAGAAAATGGAGGCAGGCGATACAAAGCAAGCACAAGGAAATAAATCACGCTGTCATAGGTTTCAACGTTCAGCCTGATGGGTACACAAACACCACCAGCACCTGGGCAGCCGTTTTAAAGGTTAAAATAACACTGTTGTTTCCCACAGGCGTTTTTCCTGGTTACTTCCAGCTCACCCTAACGCAAAGTCGGGAGAAGCCGTTATTGCCAAACCTGCCATAGCGCACGGCATTTCAAAAATCCTCCCAATTAACCTCGTTTACCCCCCCCCTGCCGAAAAGTGCCTTATGCAAGAGGCTGAGCACCTGACGCTGGCCAGGGAAGATGCGGCAGTGATGGGCACCAGCAGCAAGCCTCGGGGGTGGGAGATGGGGGTCTCCTCCGCGCGCACCCCTACAAGCGATGCCCCAAGCCCTCCCAGCTCCTGCTCGCTTTTGGGGAGCCCGAGCGTTGGGTGCTGCCCCTCAGCCAGCTTCGGCCAGTCTACACCAGTGCTCCCAGTGCTGGCGCCAAGCAGG